AAGTCACATCATTCACATAATTAGTATAACATGTAAATAAAAAAAAAACATATATTATTTGTATTATAATTAACATTTAATATATTAAAACCATCCAATAAATATCCAATTCCGTAAGAACTTGTTTTTAATGATAGGTTAACATTTTTTTCATGAAAATACAGATTAAAACTTAGCTTAATAAAACCTAGAGAGAAACTAAATTCCTATGAATATTTGAAACATATAATACATCATAATTTATTATTATATTACAATGGATATGAATTACTTTTTTGTACATACGTAATTTGTTAAAATCTATATATAACACAAATATATCAAGTGAATATACATTAGGTTAATGTCTTTATATATCTTTAATATTATATTTTTTTATGAATTCTTTATTATATATATACAGGCACGAGTGAAAAACTGATGCTACATCTCAACTAAAAAGTCAATTTTTAATAAACTATTGTAGTTTCTTGCCCTAATATTTGAATTCATGAAGCCAAGAAAGACAGCAAAGCAAGCCAAGAGGTGTGCAATATTGTCTTAGGTTAATGTCTTTATTTATCTTTAATATTATAGTTTTTTATGAATTCTTTATTATATATATACAGGCATAAGTGAAAAACTTATGCTACATCTCAACTAAAAAGTCAATTTTTAATAAACTATTGTAGTTTCGTGGCCTAATATTTGAATTCATGAAGCCAAGAAAGACAACAAAGCAAGCCAAGAGGTGTGCGATATTGTCCAGGCACAGCTAGAAATGTGTTTGGTATTGTGATTATTGTTACAGTGGTGGTTTAAAAAATATATTTTATAAAAAATATTTTTAGTTGAGATTAGGTTAAAAAAATATATGTTTTGTTAAAACTATAATTAAAATTGAGGTTAAATAAAAGTAGTTTATACACAACTAGAAATGTGTTTGGTATTGTAGTTACTATTATAATTGTGGTTTAAAAAAAATATTTTATAAAAAATATTTTTAGTTGAGATTAGGTTAAAAAAATATATGTTTTGTTAAAACTATAATTAAAATTGAGGTTAAATAAAAGTAGTTTATACACAACTAGAAATGTATTTGGTATTGTAGTTACTATTATAATTGTGGTTTAAAAAAATATATTTTATAAAAAATATTTTTA